CAGTGGTGACCCGTGCCAAGGAACACCCTGCTTGCCTCCAGGGTGCCCTTGGTTTCTCGGGTTTCGACGGTTTGGCGACGGAGAGCGTGACGTTCCCATGCCAAGAATCCATGGACCAATGGACGCCCTGGGGTCTCAGGGTTGGGTTTCTTGTGGAGGGTTTCTTGTGGACTGGCCTCCACTGTACGGTAGGTTCGCGCGGCGTCGGCGCGCGCAAAGGTTTTTGACACCGCGTCGATCGCTCAACGTTGAATCGATCGCGGCCCCAATCGTTCAAGGTTGAATGCCGTCGGGTCCCAAGGCGTTGCCGTGTCCCTTGGTGCTTCCGCGCCGCAGAATTCAACCCTGAACGCCTTCGCCGGCGTGCCAACGCCGCACAAACCTACCGTATGGGTTATGGGTGCGTGCTGCTCGCCCGTCATCCCGCCCGGACCCAGCCTTGAGTCGGGCGTGTCCGTCTACAGGAGGAGTATTCGATAATTGTTAAAGCGTAGCCCGGGGACGATCTTTTGCTGTCATCTTTGGGCTCTGTGGGCGCCTGTCTGGGCCGCGCTTTGCCTCATGCCGTCCAGAGTCCGCCTGTATATAGGGGGACACGCCCGGCCGAGACCCGGCCCGCCGGCAGGCCTTGCGGGTCGGGCTGCCGAGCGGCCGCGGCACCAGCAGGACCCAGCTCGGGGAGTGCCTGCAGGAGTTCGCGAGCTGCGCCCGGAGCCCCGCGGGGCCCGTCCTGGCCGCCGAGGGCCCCCCGACCCTCTCGGCGAACTCGTCTCGAGGAGGCGTTTTTGGAAGAGGCACGTTGCCTTAAGGTCGGGAATGTCCCACGACAGGAGGAGCATTCGAACATGGTCCAGCAAATGGTCTGGGGACGATTGTTTGAGCATGTCGGGACTATTTTGGATTATGTTTGGACTATTTTTCGTTTTTCGTTCAAAGGCCGCCTGTAGGGGGGACACGTCCGACCAAGACGTTGCTGCACTTCTCAGCGGAAAAAAAAACAAAAACTCAAAACTTCTGAGCTCGGCGCGAATGTCCTGGATCCGCGCTGGGCCCCTCCCTGGCGGGGCCCCCAGCGGCGCCCCTAGCGCGCTCCGCGCGCCAGGGAGAGGAATTCGGCGCAGATTTCAGAAGTCCGCGCGGATCTCCGAAAGATTACGCTTGTGCAGTTGTTCCTTCCTCTGTAAATATACTCAAACACATACGGTCTGGAGTTTTTGGTTGGCGCGTCGCTTGATGGGCCTGTTTTCCACCACCACCACCACCACCATAAGTTGGAGGGGGGGAAGGAGAAGGAGGACGAGGAGGGAGGAAGGAGGAGGAGGAGGAGGAGGAGGAGGAGGAGGACGAGGAGGGAGGGAGGAAGAGGAGGAGGACCCCCTCCCCCTTCAACTTATGGTGCTGGTGGTGGAAAACAGGCCCATCATCGCTTCACCTGTCTTGGCCCGACGCGCCCTGGTGCGGCACGCTCGATCCATTCCCGGGCCCCCCCAGCGTAAGAGTGCCGAGCTTTCCTTCCGAGCCTCCGTCCCCTGCCGACTCTGCCGAGCGGCGCGCGACACGCTGTCCGCTTGCAGGGCACCTCGTGTCGCCGGGGGGCCGCCGCGGCGACACGCGAAGCTCAGAGGCGACGATGGGGGCGAATAGCCCAGGGGAGAGCAATACGTCTGTTCGGGTGCGCCGATGATCGATGTCTTCAAAAAAGGCTCCCAGGCGAATGCGTGTAATGCCCGCCCCTGGGCTATTCGCCCCTATCGTCGCCGCCGAGCTAAGCAAAAGTCCCCGACCGCACCCACGCGCAAAAGCGAGAAGAGTGTCGATCAGGGCCTGGGCCTTCTCGGCACGATCCACGAAGCCCCCTCGAGAAGGTCTTTGCCGAGGCGGTCGGCGCCGAGGGTGCCAGGATGAGTCCGGCAAAGGAGTGTCGCCCTCACAGACGACCGCGAGACGGACGCGAACGACAAAGGCACCGCGGAGTGTCGAGCGGCAGCAGCAGCAGCAGCAGCAGCAGCACGAGAGTTGCATGCGGCCTGCTCTGCTTGGCAGGGTCGTCTTCGCAGTCGTTCTCGCTCCAGTGGGCTTGGGCGCTGCCTGCGGGATGCGCCCTCGCATCCTTATCCGTTGGCGTGCCCCCCTCCTGTGTCCCGAGGGTCTGGAAAGCCGTAGTATATGACATGCTCTTCTGCATCGTGCCCGTGTTGGAAATGGCTATGCAGATGAGTATGGTGATGCTAAGGAGGAGAAAGAGGAGGAACAGGAGGAGGAGGAGAAGGAGAAGGTGGAGATGATGCTGAGGAGGAGGAGGAGGAAAATTGTGGCGGACGAGAGGAGTAGATAAGAAGAAGCTGATGATGATGTTGATGATGATGATGATGATGATGATGCTGATGATGATGATGATCGTGGTGATGGTGGTGATGATGGATGTTGCTGATGATGATGATGATGGCGAGGACGAGGAAGAGGACGAGGATGAGGACGACGACGACGAAGACGATATTGATTATGATGATGCTGATGAGGACGAGGATGATGGTGATAATTGTGATGACGGTGATGATGATATTGATGACGATGATGATGATGATGATGATGATGCTGCTGATGATGATGATGATGATGATGATGATGATGATGATGATGATGTTGATGACGATGATGATGATGATGACGATGATGATCGTGGCGGTGACGGTGACGGTGATTACAATGGTGTTGATAATGATGGCTGCGATGATGATGCATGCAAGGAGAAGAAGGAGGAGGCGGAGGCAGAAGACGGCCGTCACATCTGGAGCTCATTTGAGCGTTCTTGGGGCTGTCGTGGGCTCCTGCGGGGGCAGTCTTGTGGGTCCTTGCTTTCGCCGGTTTGGGCCCCCTTCGGCTGTGTTGGAGCTCTTTTGGGCAGTCGTAGGGCCCTCTTGGCCGTTTGGGAGTTCTTTTGCGGCCGTCTTGAGGTCGTCTTGGGCCGTCGAGGGATTCTCTGAGATCGTTTTGGTTCCCTCCCGCGGCCCTATTGGGCCATAGCGGGCCGCCGTGAGGCAATATTTCGCCATATCGGAGGCATATTGGGCCAGCTTGGCAGCTTTGGTTGCCTGCGTTGGTCGTCTTGCAAGCTCGCGAGCACGGCTCCATCGCTGTTGTCCGAGGGATCGTGGCCTCGGAAGCGCGGGTCCATCTTTTGTAAAAAGGAACCACTGCCTCGGGAGCGCTGATCCTGAACCTGCTGCGAGGGATCGTGGCCTCGGGGTAGGACACATAGCTGCTTGTGGAAGAAAATGTGGGGGCCGTGAGAACGCAACGGAGTGTGATGCGTGGAGACGGGGTCCCTACCAGGCAGCAAGTGTCATTCCACCACGCCTCAACGTGCCAGGGGGCACGGTGGTGGATCCTCCCCCTCATCGGCTTAGCCGTGGGAGCTGATCGCAACAAAGACAGCCTCGGCATCGATGCTATACACAAGCCTCCTCCCCCTTCCGTCCTCCGTTCCGCTTCCACCTTTGTGTCCTTCGTCCTCCCTCCTGCGCCCCACCTTCCTCTCGGTATCCGCCATTCCCCTACTCTCCCCTCCCTCCTCCTCCAAATCCTCCTGTCTCCCTCCTGTTTCGCCTCCCGTCCTCCATGCTCCCGTTTGCCTTTCTTCTTTCGGACGCCTCTCGCCACGCCGTGACAGGCCTCTACACAGGAATTGAAGGTTAAGAGTTGTGCTGAACTCTGCCGCGCTTTGACTTGAATCCCTGATGGGTCAGGCGGGTTATCGAAACAAGGCGTCCTCTAAGGCCGTAGGTTCTGCAGCGGAAACTGAAACAGGCGGATTTGTGTAAGTGCCACTCATAGCGGTAGGGAAACTGTGGCGACGGCCGTCGCGCAAGACCACCGCTTCGGCGAACCAGGCCCCATACTCATGCGTCGCACTGTGTGTAAGAAGTGCCGCTGTGTCCTAGCCACCAACGCAAATACCACAAGACTGGCGAATGCACTGTTGAAATTGCTGCACCGCTGCACGACCATCATCTTAAATGGTTTTAACTATATATATATGTGAAAGAAAAAGTTGGGCGGGAGCCTGCGCGTGCCCCCCCTATCAGAATGAATGGTAACATTGGCTTCGAGCGCACTAAAATCTTCCAGGGTGGGCAAGACGTCTTTTCGCCAGCCAGTGCCTACATCCATGGTGTGGTAAACGAGAGAATCAGCGATGCGATTGCGGCGGTGCCCAAAGATGGGATCCCCCGCCTCGGACGCTGGAGACCATCCCGCATCAATCAACTTGAACATCTGGCCCGTCATCCTGTCAATCACAGGTGTGAGCCTGGGTGTATTCAACGGCGCGTGCCCGCATGCCACTTCAGCTAAAGGTTTGCAGTCTACCAAGAAAATGGCGCAATTGCAGATATGATGAAACTCAATGACAGGCGGTTCGTCTCTATGTTGATCCGGGCGCCAATCCAAGCTACGATGAAGAGTCTTTCTGCGCTTGTGAGGGCCGGCTGGGATGTCTGCGTGGACGCCCTGTGCCTGTTGGCCACGGTTAGGAGCCGCCATTGCGACCACAACAAATCTTCAATTTCGTCAACATGCTTATCTAAGACTCACCTCTCGTGTCTCCAGAGCTACTCAGGCCACGTGTCTCCATCCTCCGCTACCTGATCCCCCATCATACGCCCTCGTTGCTCTGTCCTCACCCCTTCCTGCACCACCGCATCCTTTTTTCCTCCCGGCATAGCCTCTCTCCCCAGACCCTCCCCGTCCTCATTTCTCCCCGTTCAGCTCCCCCTCCACAGTCCCCTCCCCCTCCTTCAAATTGACACCCATCTTCTTCGTGCAGTCTTCGTTGAGTATATAAATACAAGTTGTATGTATAAGCAAATATGTGTATATATATACTTAGATATACACCTCTGTATATGCGCGAGCCCCCCCCCCCCCCAAAAAAACGGGGACCCCATCTTGAGGAAGAAAGTCACGAGGCACATAGTTATCAATAGTAATGAAAAGAGAGAGAGAGAGAGAATGAGAAAGCGACAGAGAGCGAGAGAGAGAGAGAGATAACAAAAATAGAGAGAGAGAAATATATCGAGAAGTTAATGCTGATTCCAATTTGTTGCAATTAATCCTCAACGTTTTTCCCGGAAAGGGCATGGGCCCAGGGTTCTCTTTTAGTGGGTTTACCCCCCGGTTTTTACTTGAAGGGGGCCAGCGAATTTCTTGTGCGATAAATTACGAGGTCGAAGGGGGCCGGCGAATTAAAATTGTGAGCCACCCCTCACGCAGATCGTGCTCTTGGAATTTTACTGCCTTTGAGGAAACCTCGATATTTCACAGGTGAAGTTAACTTTTTTCCTACATCGACTTTAAACGATACAAAACGAGGTAAACGCGTTCGCTCGATAAATAACGAAGTACCGCGGCCTCCGGAACGGCGCTGGGAACGGAGTTTTGGATTCTTGAAGTTGCATAAGTTCGGAAATAGCAAATATCCCATGTGTTTTTGGACCCTGACCCCGCCGATCTGCGTGAGGGGTGGCACCGAATTTCAGAAATATGTCAAATCCCCTGTGTTTTTGGACCCTGACCCCGCGGATCTGCGTGAGGGGTGGCACCGAATTTCAGAAATGTGGCAAATCCCCTGTGTTTTTGGACCCTGACCCCGCGGATCTGCGTGAGGGGTGGCACCGAATTTCAGAAATGTGGCAAATCCCATGTGTTTTTTGACCCTGACCCCGCCGATCTGCGTGAGGGGTGGCACGGAATTCCAGAAATGTGGCAAATCCCCTGTGTTTTCGGATCCTGACCCCGCCGACCTGCGTGAGGGGTGGCACCGAATTTCAGAAATGTGGCAAGTCCCATGTGTTTTCGGACCTTGACTTCGCCCAGGAGGGCCCAGGAGGCTCCAGGAGAGCCCAGGAGAGCCCAGGAGGGCCCAGGAGAGCCCAGGAGGGCCCAGGAGGACCCAGGAGGCTCCAAGAGGCACCAGGGGGCCCAAGGAGGGCCCAGGAGAAGCTCCAGGAGGCTCCAGGAGAGCCCAGGAGAGCCCAAGAGGTCCAAGGAAGACCCAGGAGGACCCAGGAGCCCTTACGAGGGATCGTGGCCCTGGGATCGCTGACGTAGCGTAATTCGCAGAATCCTCGACGAATAATGAGGTCTGGAGCCCCGACCGCGACGCGGAAAAGCGCCCCGCGCGCAGGAATTCCGAGGATGTCTCGCGCGTGCCGCGTCCCGCGCGCAGGAAGTTCGAGGATGTCTCGACTAATTCGTTTGTTTCGTCAGGATGTCTCGAAAATGTTGGCAGGATGTCTCGAGCGAAACGCTTGTTTTTCATAATGTGTTGAGGATGTCTCGAGCGAAACGCTGGTGTTGCAAAATTTGGGGATGTCTCGAGCGGGGGCTTCGTGGGGGGCAAGAATTCAGAGGATGTCTCAAGCGAAATGCTTGTTTTCGTGTCCCGCTCGCAGGAATTCCAAGGATGTCTCGCGCGGGCCGCGTCCCGCGCGCAGGAATTCGTGGATGTCTCGACTAATTCGCTTGTGTTGTCCGGATTTCTTGGAATTTTGGCAGGATGTCTCGAGCGAAACGCTTGTTTTTCATAATTTGTTGAGGATGGTTTGAGCGAAACGCTGGTTTTGCAAAATTTGGTGACGTCTCGAGCGGGGGCTTCGTGGGGGGCCAGAATTCAGAGGATGTCTCAGGCGAAATGTTTGTTTTCGTGTCCCGCTCGCAGGAATTCCAAGGATGTCTCGCGCGTGCCGCGTCCCACGCGCAGGAATTTTGAGGATGTCCCGTAGCGCGTCGCCTTGGCACGTCCTACGGTGCGACCCCATGGCACGTCCCTTGGCACGTCGCCTGGCGCGTCCCTTGGAACGTTCCGTGGCGCGTCCTCCTGGCATGTCCCCTCTGTCGATTGACTTTGGGGCAGCTACCATCTGCTCAGGCAGCTCGAGCTTAAGATCCAAATCAGTTCGGCCA